CTTATAATTTACGCCAATTAGCAAAAATATTTGAAAGAACATTTAGCAGATATTTTACCCAAATTAGCAGATATTATAGTTGTACGAATTACAAGATAACCTTAATATGTTTAAGAATTTACAACAGACCACTGTTTCTTTTAAGATTTGCAATATTTGTCCTCTTTTCATATGTATTTGTTACGTTAGCCCCAATATTTTTGATCATTTATAAAATAGTCCCAAGAATGTACGGTTTTGTAGAATAGCCTCAATATATTTGAGAATTCACTTTATGACTTGCAAACTTACATATCTACTATATTATATGTGAAGTAAAAATCATACGTGGCGACTTCTCATCAATTTTGAGTTGGTTGATTACATGGGTATTCTTAATAAAATCGACATAATTACATATGCCCTTACCCTTGCCATCGATTTGGGTTTACTGTTATTTTAGTTTGTATTTGTTTAGAAGTGGCCCAGCTTTTCGTCGATTTTGAGTTGGTTGATTACATGGATACTCTTAATAAAACCGACAGAATTACATATGTCCTTACTCTTACCATCGATTTGGGCTTATTGTTATTTAGTTTGTATTTGTTTAGAAGTGCCCCATATATTTAGTCGTAGCTGTTTTTATTATTATTTCTATCTGAAACTCTAGATGTTTGGTATGTATATATACGTAAGAATGTTATTAATCGTTCCAATATTGTAATAAAGTTCATCGGCTACGAATTTTATAGGTTTCATTCTCTGATCTTTTTTATTTTATTTTTATTTATTCTCAATACGTTCTAATCTTTTCATTCGGTTTACGATGAGTTTTAGTCTTCTATAATGATATGTTATAGTGTTCTACTAATTCGTATTTATTTACTCCTTAGTTCTTCTTTCATCTTTATGATTTAACAATTTTGTAATATTATAAATTTACCTACTTGTGTGCTGTTTTTTAATGTTATCGTAGATAATATTATTTGCTGTTGCTAATGATTCTTGCTTTTTTTTTTTTTTGGTTTTCTGTGTTTGACTAACTCTACAATAGTAACACACACGATATAGATAACAATTATCCATTTAGTGTACGATAAATATCAATCTCTTCTATGTGATTGATTGTTGTAAATAAATATTTATTTAATTGTAGGCAATCGTGTGTGTTACTTTATAATCAAGTACATTACGGTGTATTTATGTACTTTGCAACTGGTTTTTGAATATAATTTTCTCTTACTGGCTAATTTAATATGTATTTCATGTTGGCTAGGATCCTCGGATGCTTTCGATTTTATTCAAGGCCTAAATATGTCAAGAAACTTTACATATTTGAGATCGTATTGTTC